CTGTGGACCACGGACTTGCAAGTTCCATATCTTGAGGTGAGATTTGGATGAGGATCTAAAATTCATCATAGTACTTTAACCATCTACCCTCACTTATTATTTTAATTACTATCTGAGTGAAGTATATTTTTAATATGATAATTTTTATTTTGTTCATAATGTCGTATTTTATTTAAATATGGATGTGATTTGTAGAAAGATTGGTTTAAGATAGATTATATATGTTTATATGTACTTCATTTGTTGTAATACCTTCCCACTTTTCTTACATATTTTGTTAAATCGAAATAAGCCGACATATACTCGTTGTACCGCGGTCGGAGCATTGGACTTGCTAAACTGGCGTAACGGCGTCAAACCGGTTTAACAACCTTGCACGATTTGTGTATATAAAAGAACAATAATAGACAAATAATTATAAACAAGAGCAATAAAGATAATTGTATTTCATACTCACAAATCTAATTCATCAAAATCCATCAAGCAGTTTTGTCCAAATCCATAATATACTAATTCCATAATAAATCCATGAACTTATATTCATTTTTCAAAATCATGAAATAAATGGCCACTTCTCTTCTCTAATACCAAGCCAAAAGAAGTGTTTATTAGACCATTGATTTAACCGGTGAAAAGAAGTACATAAACGAACTAATAACGGCAATCCACCCATTAAATGCAAAGAACTTTCAATTCATCCTTAATTACTTACAACCCCATCCCCCAATTAACAAACTCAACATCCATCATAATCATCATTTATGAAAAATATTTTTGTGCACATAATATAAGAAAATTACCAAATACAGAATAAAAATAAAAACAATTAAGGGGGGAAAACGCATAAATAAATAAAAAATATATAAAAGGAAAAAAATGAAGTCGTGCATTGCAATAACTTCCTTAACCCCACCCAACCGTTTCCTTTTTCTTCCCCTTGCCTTCTGCTTATCTTTCCTCTCTCTCGCTCTTCTTCTCTCCTTCATCATCTCCCTCATTATCTGTAAAACTACTGCCAATGTTTTTTTCTGGGCAGGAAAAGAAAATATTTTGGGCTGTGCTGCTGAAAGGAATCAACGTTAACAGAAGGAGTAGAGAGTAAGTCTGGGGGGACAACCTTTGAACATCCATTAAATACTCTTCCATTAAACGACAGGTGCTCTGTCTTTCCCCTGTTTTCCCCTCTCTGTACTCTGTTTTCTTTTTTCACTTTCACTTTTTCATTTACATGCGAATCTGTCGTGTAAAATAAACGAAGAAGAAAGTGGACCCTTTGAGCAACTCAGAGATAAACGGAGGAAAGGCCGGAACTTTTCTTCTTCTTATTTTTTTTACTGTAGTGATCAGTGTTGGGTAACCTTCAAAACCCAGGCTTTTGTTTTTTCCAGGGAGAAGAATAATACCCAGTTCCAAAAATCTCTTCTTCCAAGTTGCAATTCTTCCTTCTCTTTTATTTTTTTGGCTCTGTAAAATTGGCTGTCACTTTCTTGAGGTATACATTTAACAATTTGTAATAATGTATGTTGGTATTGTTGCATTTTGATTTGTTTATTTCTCTGGGTAATCTCCATTATTTTGTTTTTGGAGATGGGGTATTGAGTATTATTGACAATGAAACGGGCTCCCTTTTTTTTGTCTCCTTCTCTCATCGGGTTTTACTTGCTCTGCTCCCTACATTCTCTGTTTTTGTCTTGAATTTGGATTTGTCCTTTCCCTTTGCTTCCCATTTCTCCCTTCCTTTCTTCACCCCCCATGTGCTCTTTGTTGAAATGCATTAAAATCACTCCATTCCGCTCCATACCCAGATCGATTCCCGAGCTCGATTTCCAGTTTCTGAGCCATTTCTGAGATGGGTTTTTGAGGTAAGGGGTGTTTCTCCAGTCAAGCTCCAGTCTCTAGAATGAGTTCCGCGTTTGAATGTCCTTTTCTTTTGCAGGACTCGGAATTGCGCTCCAACTGTTCGACAAAATTCCGGAGAGAGTGAGTGAGAAGTGGGGGGAAAAAATGAGAGATTTCCCCTCTTGTTTCGGCGAGAATGGAGTTCAGGTAGCTGATTCTTCTTCTTCTGCCTCGTCTTCAACCGCCACTAAAACTGCTCAGAATCTAGTCACTTGCTTGTACCAATGTCGAATCCGTGGCCGTTCCTGCTTGATCACTGTCTCCTGGACCAAAACCTTGATGGGTCAAGGACTAACCCTCGGAATCGACGATTCTTCTAAGCAGTGTCTTTGCAAAGTCGAGATTAAACCCTGGTTATTCTCCAAGAAGAAGGGGTCGAGGAGTCTAGAAGCTTACTCCTGCAAAATCGACATCTATTGGGATCTCTCTTCAGCGAAATTCGGATCTGGTAACCCTGAACCACAGCTAGGGTTCTACGTCGCAGTTGTAGTAGACAAGCAAATGGTTCTCCTTCTCGGGGACATGACTAAAGAAGCCTTCAAGAAAACCAACGCCAGTGCCATTTTGCCTCTTACTTCCCCTGCTGTATTTGTAGCCAAGAGGGAACATCTCTTTGGTAAGAAAGTGTTCACCACCAAGGCTCAATTCTGTGACAACGGCCAGGTTCACGATCTCGTCCTCGAATGTGACACAGTTGGGGTCAGCGATCCGTGCCTCATGGTTCGAGTGGACTGCAAGACGGTGTTGCAGGTGAAGCAGCTGAAGTGGAAGTTCCGTGGCAACCACACAATATTGGTCGATGGTTTGGCTGTTGAGGTTCTGTGGGATGTTCATAATTGGCTGTTTGGAGGTGGTGGTTCACTAGGGAATGCTGTGTTTATGTTCAGGACGTGCCTCGAGAAACTGTGGGGTGGAGGAAGCCAGCAGCAGCACGATGATGATCCGAGTTCATTGACTTGGTCGTCATTCTCACAGAGATTTGTGGACTGCAAGTCACATCAAAATCCTGATTTTAAGCTGGTTTTGTATGCTTGGAAGAGTGAATAGTTTGAGAGTCTATATCAGTGAGTTGGTCATTTTGGAGTCATTATGTAATTGATTTACACTTAGTTTTCGCGATTGATCAAACACGGTCCATTTTTCGTTTCCTGAGTAACTTGAGCAGTCGAATGGATCAAATACAAAATTTTTTGTTCTATATTTTACTTGCTGTACGTTTCTTGTTTCATCTGAGGAAAACACTTTGAAGTGTTCAAGATCACAAGCCTCCATGGTGAATTATTGTGCAGTTAACTATTGCAGCTGTACTTAAATGGGATCTCACCTAGTGGAACATCTCCATTTGTTCTTCGCTTTAGTGCAGTGTTTTACTATTGCAGGTTTCTATTTCAGCATGTATGAGAGACACAGTTTCTGACTTGTTTATGGTAGTTGTACATAGAAGGATAACTGTCTGCACAACGTGGTATGGAAATTCTACCTAATCCTTTTGTTTGATTCTGTCCGTGGACTTAAAAAAACAAGGTACCATGATCATAAACACTGAGTTGATGTCTTAATCCCTGCTGTCATGGGTTGCCAGCTTGCCATTTTTGCCTCTTCAGTATATATCAGCAAAACAATGACGTTAAAGACGGAGAAATCTAATCATCTTGCAAGTGCTGCAATTGTTATCTTGCAGGAATTGGAAGGATGACTATAGGCCAAAGGTTTCAAGACCAAGTATTACTATTTCCCCTCCCTCTTTGCCTGTCCGTTTGACTGCAGCTTTTTCACTGTTTGCGGCATATGGAACCACTGTGGAAACCAACCCAGTAGCTACAGAATCCTGAAGCTCTGTAGCATTGTTTCTTGCTCTTTGGTTTTCTTTGACTGGAGTCTTGTCTCATGTCCCCGGTTATGCATTCTTAATAGTTCCAACTTCCCAAGTGTATAGACTTGGTCTTTTTTCACCACTGGTTTTACTTGCTTCTGTCTCTTTGCTGTTTCTTTCTGCCATATTCTACTGTGTGTCTCGTGGGATGTCTCTTCATGGGGGAAATGGAGAGAATCTGGGTTCCTTCTGCTACTATGCAAAATGGGTGTAGGGTGGACACATTGGTTCAACATGTCCTTGTGATCTCAGCGGGAGATGCACATCGTTGGATGTGCCCCGTCCCAAGAACTCCGACCATACCCGATTTACAAAAAATTGGCCTCTCCGTCGAGCAAGTTTGTACAGCTTGACCTCTGTACAAGGGATGACACGCATAAATCGAGCAAGTGCGTACATCCATTTTGCACATCTTGACAGCATCGATGCAACTTCATATATGCTAATTGTGCCTCAGTTCAGTGTGTATGGTAAGACATGGGAGTTTAACGTTGATCGATGCGATTCGGCCGGTTGTTTTGGGAGGGAATTTTGCCTAACTTCCACGTAATCTCTACTTAACTAAGTACCTCTTGGGAGTGAGTGTCTTGGAAAATGATTAGGTCAGGCACTTTACTTGATAGGCCTAAACTAATGGAAACGTCCACGCCACGTAAACCAAACTCTAATGAAACTGGAGTTGTTGATTCGTCCCCGCAGTTTCCCCTTTTCCACCGAGGACTTAAATTAAATTTTGATTTGCATATGATAAAGTGTAGATTGTTACTACTAACCATGAATTTAAAATCTTAAATACTAGACCAAAGTTGTTCATTATTATAAAATTGGGATACTTTTCGTCATCATTAAAAGTTGGAGCCGAAGTTGTCCATTTATTTAAAGTTGAGATCATATTAGAATATTAACCCGACTAAATCAACTATTATCACTATGCGGTTTTCAATTTCACTAGTACTACTATCTCATCACGACCGCATATTGTGCATACGAGTGCTAATCGGTTTGGTTTCGATTAACCACTAAGCAAAACCGATTAGTTACGTGGTACACTTCATGATTCCAAGGGCCGTCCATTCTCCCTATCAAAATAAGCTCCTCTTCCATAATCATCGTCTGTACTTTTCTGCCTCAATAGCAGCACATTAGAAGAAGACTAGGCAAGGCAGGCGGCAGGCATTGTGGAGAGGGTAACTACTAATTAGATGTATAACCATAAAACAACCAAAATATGTTCATCAATAAGCAATTTGTACTGAAATGGAAGTCAGCACTCTCTAGGTTTTGACCAAAGTACTAAGCCAAGCTGTAATTTTTCACTCTGATAAACTGGAATTTAAGAAGAAGAACATGAATGCCTCTCGCACGTTGTTGAATCACATTGATTCAAACCAGTGTAATTCATAAGAATATGTGCTCCTGGAAACTGCTCAGTAACAAACAAGCAAAGCTGTACATTACATAGCTTACTTACACATTTATCATCAGTACATTTAACCAAATAGAAATATGAATATACAAAGTGCCTAAATGAACAGCCTAGTTCACATTATGTGAAATCAGCACATATCAAGATTCCTGAAATAGGTAGTAGAATATACTTTGTTTTGAACAATACTCAACACATATATAGATGGCGGCCATCATAGAGATATCACTCTACAAGTTCCAGACTGGCTGGCAGAGGGACGAGTCAGAATATGCTTTCTGGAGGGTAGGTCAACATTAGATCAACCAATTCTGGGTTTATCTGCAAAGTCATAAAAGATCAAGGCATTTATCAGTTTCAACTTCGATTGACTGGGTACAAAGTAGAACAACCATATGTCAGTTCTTACCTCTGGAAATGCAGAATGGAAGCAGTCACCCCACTCAGTTGCAGTAAGGAAGGGGTTCTCAGAAAGCTTCTGGTTCTCTACTTCAGGACTTGGTGCTCCTGAACTGTAAAGTTCCCTTTCGAAAGGAGTTGGTTGTTCTGCTTGCGCGGTCTGCCGCGGGCTGATTCCACTAACAGAATCCATCAAATGACCCAGTTTAACATTCTCGAAAACTGAATGACTTTCCAAACTAGATGGTGTCAGCAAAGTCGAGCATCCGTCGTCTTTAAGTGGTGATACATGACTGCCTGAATCAGAAGCCATTAGGCAATTTGCCTCACCATGTTCACAACCAACTTGATAACTTGTCTGTAGAGGTGTGATGGGGTTTAAGAAATCAGAAACCCGCATACAATTGGCTTCACTGTACTCGCACGAACCTTGCTCAACAGTATCATCACCATCACCTTTTTCCAAAGGTGACATTTGATTTCCAAAATCAGAAACCACCGGGTGGCTTGCCTCACTACTATCACAAGTAGTCTGTTGTTGGTTCAAACACCCATTACCTCCCAATAAAGGTGATCTTTGATTTTCACAGTCAAAAGCATTAGGCCCCCGGTAACTACGGCTCGTTTTTTCAACATCAGAAATAGGGTGACATTGATCAAGACTAGAATCCATAGTCACAATACTGTTTAGTTTGTCATGATCTTTATTGATCCTTTTATCTCTCTTCCTCTTCAATTTGCAAAGGGTGAAATTTTCCTGCAAATGAGACATAATTACCAACCTTAACTAATGCAATTAAGTGCTAGATGTACATTTGTAAAATGTCTTGTCATGTCAAATGGTATAACAATCTGAGGAATCAAATGACAACACCAGATTAACAGATCAAACTTCTATTATCAGGTTTTGATAACTAATAAATGATGCAAAGAAGTTGGAGCATGAACCATAATTCAAGTGGAAGTAACAAAACAGACATACACCATCTCAAGGTTAATTAGCAAAACAATAACACACCATCAGCTGCATTTCATGCATGTATATAACCACAATAGTGATGCATCATTTGGAGCATGAACCGTAGTTCAAATAGAAGTAACAAAACAGCTATACACCATCTCAAGTTTAATTAGAAAAACAACAATACACCATCAGCTGCATTTCATGGATTTATATGACCATAAAAGTGATAAGTTCAGCATCAACCATGGATATTAAGATATGATTTGTGAAACTGCCAAAGAAATGTCAATTTACCTTATGTGGTGAGTTTGGATCCGCTATGTACTCGTATTCGTGCATTACATACTCTGTGATGATTCCTCTCGGATAACCTATCCCCTTTTTATAGAAAACCAAAGTCTTCTTAATACCAATCTTTTTCTTGGTTCTCTTAATCTTTACTTCACGGATCTTGCCTGTGGGTTTCCAATGACCACTTTTTGTGGTTCTATTGGATCTTTTGCTGTTGACATATTTGTAATCACGCGGACAATAACAATAAAAAATCCACTCGTCAAGCTTATTGTCCACCAAACCTGCAATCAAGGGTTTATACATTTATTATATTCATTTGGTTTGAAAGAAATCACTCACTAATGCAAAGTGGAGATCATGCCCTACCGAGTAAATCCCAAGGATCAAAAGAATAGACTTTGATCTCAGGTATGGAAACACGACCAGTACTCAGGTTGAGTAACTTGCGACGTAAATAGTGATTCACGAGTTCATCATCGCGAGGATGGAATCTGTATCCCACCACGTCCACGGCAACAGCCGACTCTGCGGTGGCCTCCGTTGCTAACAAAATGGAAAAACAGAATCTGGAATTCAACATACGAAAACCAAAAGGAGGGGAAAAAATTCGTAGAAAGAAATCGGGCTTGAAGAGCTGATCACCTGATGTGAAAGTACGATTCATTCCACTTCCTAAAACAGGAAAATCGTTGGTCGGGAGCGACTGGAGCGCTTGCGATCGCTTGATGAATCAGAAGTGAAACCGGAGAGAGAAGAAATGAACTGCGACGTCGATGATTTCTTCGGGCGTTTGGCGATCAGCTGTGCGTCAGCGTCTTTTATTGCGAGGACCACACTACTTCGCCGGGAAGTAGTCTGAAATTAGTGGGGAAAAGAAAAAGAAAAAGTGAAAAAACGCAGAATTGAATTGGACTAAAACAAAGGAGGCTGGGCCGCTGCGGAAGAAAATAGAGAGTAAAGCCCGGAGAATTGGGCCATTACAATGGTTTTTTTGCAGACGGCAGACGGGAGTGCAACCAGGCTGGATGGCCCACACAAAATGTAATTGAAACATAGAAGAGTGTTGTGTGCTAGTCCTTAAAAATGTTTGCTTATGTAGTTACTTTTCAGGTTTGGTAGACCCTGTTATTACAAAGTGGCCTCTGAGATTGAAGTTTTTGGGTTATTAAAAGAAGAAGAAGAAAGGAGCACGTGGACCTCAGATGCCTTGCCTCATTTCAATTTTCAGGCGATTAGACTCGCTCTCTCACCAACTCTGAGCTCACTTCAATCGCCCTTCTCCTCCACTAGATCCGTGGTTATAGATTCCCGGTTCAAGCCTCCTCTACGTCGAAGCTGCCGATTGATCGCTGACCACATAGAGGAAGGATCAGGTGATTAGGGGGTGTTTAATCACTTGACTACACTCATCCTAACTCTTAGATTTAGACACACCAATCTAATGGTTAAAAATTGAGAAGAGGTTTTTTATTAAAGACTGAGTAATTTGGGTATTATGAAAAATTACGAACTATACAAACCGGGCTTACAAACCATACAAACAATACAAATTAGAATGACAAACCATACAAACAGATTCACAAACAACACAAAACATATGAACTATACAAAATACAAACTATACCGATAAAAAATATAAAATGAAAAAATAACTAGGTTGACTTTGGAGGCTTTGTCTCTGCATAGAGGAGATCGTCCCAATGTCAAGCAAGTTGTTTTTGTAGACATATAAACATTGCAAACAAGAGGGACAAAAATGACAAAATAGGCTGACAAACTATACAAAATGGAAAAACAACCAGATTGACTTTAGAGGCTCCGTCTCTATATAGAGGAGTTTCGTCACAAAGTCAACCTGGTTGTTTTTCAAACATACAAACATGATGACAAAATGACAAAGATGGTGGACAAAAATGACAAGCTATACAAACCATATGAACCATACAAACTAGAACCATACAAACTATACAAATTAGATTTACAAATAATACTAAGCATACAAAAAGAATTCACAAGCAATACAAACCATACAAAATGGGGAAAAAGAGTCTTCGTCCCTATATAGAGGAGTTCCGTTCCAAAGTCAACCGAGTTATTTTTTAAATAGTACAAACATGGTAGACAAAAGTGACAAACTTACAAACATACAAAACAATCGAGAAAACATTACAAAGCATACTAAGCATACAATTGGAAAAATATCACCATACTTTGTATTTGTTGTATTACAAACCAACAAATACAAAGTTTACAAATCATAACATAAAGTATACAAACTAGAATAACAAACATTACAAATTATTACATATACTAATTAGTGATATAAACATTACTAACATTACAAAATAGACCGACAAACATCATAAAGTTGTCGCTCCCTATAGAAAATCCCCATCGACGGAAAATCCTCTTCTTCGTCGCCGCTGGAGAATCTTCGATGCTGCTGGGAAACTCCCTCTCTCTCTCGTACAAAATTACTCAAAAAAAGGGTTGGGCAAAAAAATCCCACGGCGCGAGAATTCGCCAGAAAGTGACCATGGCCTCTTTTCTGTTCGAACTGTAAAAAAATGAGATTAAAAATCATCGGCCGATGTACATTTATTTTTATAGAAGTTAAAAAATTACATATACATACTTCGTGAGATATGATGTCATCCATAATACTACAGTGATTAGAGATGGCAACGAGGATCTTCGGTTCCGAGAACAACCAATCGAACGCTTCCTTTGGTGCCTTTTCGCCCATACCGCAGAGGGTTGAGCATGCTAAAGATGGGTAAGCGCAAGAATAAACACCAACCTTCCTGTATTCCTCTACTGATGGCACTTTCCCTTCAGCAAACCATCTGGCTTCGGCGAGGTACGCTATCCCTTGATTCTTGTGCTGCAACGAAATCGACGAATAAATGGATTCAACACCTTAACCAACGATTGTGCAAGATTTCATAACTCGGGAAAATGGATTCTTAGGGCTCGTTTGCTTGTGGATTTGAAAATGAAGGTTTTTTGTTTTGAAAATCTTTGGATTTATGATGGATTTGTTTCATTTGGTATTTGAAAGATATCATTGTTTTTTTAGTTAATTTTGATCATGGATTTAAAGATTTTTGTACCATGGGTCTCAACTCCTTGTCTTCAATGACCAAATACCAAATGAAATGTGATATTTGCAAATACGTGGGGTCCACGGATTTGGGGCTAAAAAAATGTCCAAATCCGTGGGCCCACGAATTTGTATACCTCAACAAACAATGTTTTTATATCAAATATGTAATGCTTTGTATTTGGGTGCCAAATACATCACCCAAATCCCACAAGCAAATGACACCTTAATTACTACTTCTTTTGCGTATTTGAGACAGTAGGGTCTTCATTTTTTCACAACTTAGAAGCCCCCATCCAACTCGAATTGGACTTTCAATTTTAAGTCACTCTCGTCTCTTTACCTAATCTCTTGTTATTTTCATAACACCAAAAGGCAAACACTAGTATTAGTTGTCTCTTAGTCTCCAATTCGTCAAATTAAAGATTACAAATGACAAGAATTTGAGGTGTGATCTCTCCTCCATTATCCTTATTCATATCCTACCTCTAGGCAAATTCAAGATTCTTTGCTTAGTCTCTTTGCCATAAATTAAACTATAAAATCTAATTTATATATTTAATTATTAATTATAAAGATAATTAATTTCGTATTCGATAATACCGATTGGGATACCGAAGTATCGATTGGGATACCGAAATGTTTAAGGATTGGGATTAGGATACCAAACTTATTTAGAGGTTGGGGTTGTGATTGACTTTAGGGTGTAATTCGGTATTCAGTATTTAATATTGGCTAAATTACACGTTTGGTCACTCAAATCATATAAATCTTTCACGTTTGCCACCCGAATTATTTTTATTTCTTATTCACCACTAATGTTAAGAATCATTTCACTGTTAGTCACCGTCGTTAGTCTCCGTTAAATTCATCCTAAGTGACAGTCAACTATTATCTTTGACCGTTAAGTTACTGACGTGTCACCTAGAAAAATAAAAAATAAAAAATATTTTTCATTCCCACCTCTATCACAACCATTACAAAATAATACCAATTAAAATTTATATATATTTTTTAATTCACCACCATACCAATCGACACCCAAATCTTCCAATTTCCCTCCCCGCCGCAACAAAGGTACACTTCCGGGCCCTCTTGGCACCGACGGGGTTCCCAACGACATCTATCTCGCCACCGTCGCCTCCCCCGCGCCACCGTCCAGCATGGCGCAACTAACAGAATCCTTAAAGCTCGTGCACCAGTTTGCTCCAAGGATGACGCCGTCTAGTACCACCTACTACGCTGTCGATGAAGCCGCCGCCATTTCTGATTTGTCCAAGAATGACGCTGTCTAGTACCACATCTCCCTCTTCTCCGGATTGAAGGAACTCAAGAGAAAGGTCAGTCACTGTGAACCAGTGTTATCAAAGCCGTACCGAGCCGGTCGGCCCGACCGCCAAAACCGCCACCCGGCCACAAAACCGACTCGGCTCAGCTATTTAACCGGAACGACTCTCTGGGATGGTCGGCGAGCGGCCGAAGCGGATAACCGCTCGAGCCGCTCGTCCGGCTTTTCCCATTGAGCCGGTTGAATTAATTAAAAAAAACTAAAAAGGAAAAAAGAGGGTCGGGCTGTCTGAAACAAAACCCTAATTTCTATTTTTATCTGTCTTCGTCTTCGACTCTTTGTGCATTCTGAAGGAGGCGCTGCTTCCTTCCCCGTCAAAGTCCCCATTACCCGTCGTCGTTGTTCCCCGTCGCCGTCCCTCGTAGCCATCGCCTGTCGCCATCGCCCGCCGCCAGTCCCCGTCGCCAGTCAACGCGCCAGGCCCCAAATCGTCATTCCCCGTCGTTCCTCGTCCCAGCTCGCTACCGCAGGAGGTCCGCCGTTGATTGGTCTCCAGCAAAGTGATAGGGGCGTTGGATGAGACAGTCGATTGTGGTGATGGAGTCGGAGCAGCGGAGTAAAGGGAAAGGTAAGAAAGAATTAAAGAAGAAGAAGGAAAGGGAAAGGAGGGAAGAATGGGGCGGCGGTAGCAGGGGTATGGGGTAGGGTTTTTGCAGTGGAGATATATATATAATGTAAAATTACTAATTGGTACTTGAAGAGTAAATTTTATTTTAGTCATTAAATTGTTAAATTATTATTTTATATATCATCTACTTATGATATTATCATTTATAAGGTACCGGTTCTCTAACGGTTTTTTAACGGTCTAATAGCGGTTAAACCACTAAAGTGCAAGCCGTTCACGTTACCGGGTCATACTTCGGTTCGGTTTTAACAACATTGCTGTGAACCCATTTGTCATTCCAGCGCTAGCGCATCGGTAAGAATGGGGAAAACATACGAAGATGCTCCGAATTTAGCACCACCAACCTAGCGATGCACGCCTTCACCGATATCTCTAATCAAATTCAAGTTTGACTATCCATTTGTACTGCCTCCCGGATTCATATATGTTGTTCACTTGGCCATGCCCCACCGCTCACCTGAACCTCAGATCTGCAGTCCAACACCACCATCAAATATTAAAACAAGAGTTCATAGCTTGACGACTTGACGGAGTTCTAGTAGCCTCTCGCCTAGGGGTGGGCATTGGTGCGGTTCGCACCGCACCGCACCGCTTTGATACAAACCGCACCGCACCGCATATTAATTGGACCGCACCGCATGTTGGACCGCAATATAATCGGTGCGATCAAACCAAACCGCATAGGTTAGCGGTTTGGTACGGTTTAACCCGCACCGCATATTTGACCGCAATTCATAATGAAACAAATAGAAAACAGAAAACAGAGCATTCCAAAAACAGAGCCGGGATCATGTCGTCGTTCACTTTTGGAGTTGGGCCGGTGACTTGGATCTACGCGGGGGAAGTTTTCAATCGGCGTTGGCGTCCAGCGCTGGCGGGCGCTCATCTTGTGGCCTCCCACTCCGCCCATTAATGGGTCGCAGTACAAGCTCCCCAGCCTCCCTCCTGCCTCCAAAAGAAACCAAAACTTTTCAGCAGAGGAAAAGAGCTATAACATTGGAACATCAATTCAAATTCTCACATTCTGCAAAGCTACTAGAAAAAGAGTAAAGAAGGGGGAGGCGACCTGCGGCGAGATCTTGATGGGCGGAGAGGGTTTTGTGCATATCGACGAGCTGCTCGCAGATGGTGGCGTAGACGGCGATCTGCTTGCGGAGGGTTTGGAGCTGGTCGTCGGTCATGACCTTGACGTACAGCATATTCCCGGCGGCTGCAGCGACGGCGTTGATGCTGTTGCTGGCGGTGGTGTTGCTGTTCGTGCTGGCAATTACAAGTTAAAAGCTTCAGTCGATTTGAGTTGAACGGATTCGTTTGGCGCAACAAATTTTCGCCTGACATATTAGATTTCCTCTGCCACCCAAAATGTATCTCCAGAACCTCCTGATGTCTACTTATGTGCAGTAAATTATGTGCTGTTTCATTTACTACTCAGCTATTGGACGATATATAAACTTCAAACATCCATTTAACATCACAAGCCAGAATCCAGTTAAACAAAAAGGTTAAGGGAGACAACATACATCTACCAAAGCCTATCTCAAGCTAGAAAACCCATTAATTTTTTTGAAGCTTTCTAATCCCTCACCTAACCCACAAAACTAAAACTTGGGTACTATTCTATATCAGTTCCTTCACAACATATCCTATCCAGAAGCACCAAAATCACAACCCCTTAGCATCCATTAATTTAGCTTAAACAAAAGCCATAAGGGGACCTCTCCAGCTCTAATCCAAGAACTTGGATCATCAGCTGTCATTATCTTTGAACCTGTGGATGGTGAGCAGTTCCGTAAGCTACAGAAGATCATGTTGGACACGGTTACAAACATAGATGGCAAAACTCCACCTTCAACAACCCCAACCATCCACCACATAAGTAAACACACACACACACATCAAATCCCGCTTAAGAATGTAACCATAGTCAAGAAACTGACCTCACTAGATACTGATGCTTGAGCTCGTTTTCCCTGCGAGCTTTTTGATTTCATTTTGCAGATAATATCTTCTTTTTCCCAACTGCTTGATATCGAATTTGAAAGAAAACCGTTAGAAACATGGATCTTTTAATTACCAACCAACTTGTTTGTGAAAATTGTATGATACAAACAAAGTAAGCAAACATAGCTCATCAATTTCTGGATGAGAAAGAGTGTACTGAACTAATCCAAAAACAGGTCACCGAACAGAGATATAAACAGAGAAGCTTCCCTTGACCATTCTGCCAGCCAGGCCCCCATTTCAGTTATTATGATCACTACCAACTTGAAGAAAACTTCCCCGCAACTGAGAAAACGTATCAGAGTACTAATGAAGGAAATAGCTCCGCAGATTATCATCTGGGTTTAACTGGTTTTTGATGTTTTACGACTCTAATCAGAACTAAGTACCCTGGAGATAATATACGACTCTAATCAATCTATCATAGTATACCTAATATCTAGACTCTAATCAATCCATCAAGCCTAGTAGGAAACCCTTTGCCTCTGCTAAACCAGGTCCTGCAATTTGACAAACCCGATTAAAAACGATCTTAGAGGCTTTTTGGTAATCAAGGATCGTAGAAAGAATAGATTTGAAGTATTCTCAACCTCACAGGCCCCGACTACCAAACAACCTCTAAGTTCCTTGGGTAGCAAGATAATCGAACGGAATGTTACCTTGGAAAGGATTCTGAAGGGCAGAGAGTTTCTCCAAGAACCATGTGTTCCTAATCTCAACGCAATCCCAATTCAACAAACCGTAAGGCTCACTCATCCCTACTACTCCTTCCCCTAGATAATAACTTCCAACAATCGTCCATATCGCCCAATCTAAATCAAGCTCAGCTGCATATCCAAGGAAGCAATTTATGAACCGTTCATCATTCAAATTCGTCCCAGTTTGATCAATCCCAAACTCACTCACGAACAACAGATACTTCTGATCCAACAAAGGGGCAAAGGGTTCGGCGGGTCGGTCAGTGAGAGTGTGAGACCGATTAAGGAAATGAGGAGGGAGAAAGAGAGTACCAGAACGGGCAGTCGAGACTCTAGAGTAATCGTCGGCGCTGGCCCTCTCGAGAGGGAGGAATCGACCAGAAGTCGGGACGAATAGATCAGGTAGCCGGGACGAATAGATCAGGTAGTCGAGACTTGAGAGGAATCGTCGGCGTCGGCGTCGGCGCTGGAGCTATCGCCTCTTGGTGGTGCGCGACGTCGTCGAGAGGCACGAATATATCAGGAGTCGGGATGGAGGCGAGAACGGGTGTCGGGTAGGTAGTCGAGAGGGAGGAATCGTCGATGGCGCCGCCGACAAGGCTTTCTCTTGTGGTGAGGAAGCTGCAGCCGCCGGCGAGGCTTGCTCTTGTGGTGAGGAAGCCGCCGTCGCCGGGAAGAAGAAGAATAGTCGGGGGGTGTGGTAACTGGTAAGGGTATGAATTGAGATTTGAGAATCTCTCGCTGAGCTGGGTAGGGATTTAGTGGTTTGCGGTTTTGAACCGCAACCGCGCAGTTTCAGTCGACCCGTACCACAAAACCGCGAACCGCTTAGGATTAGACCGCAAATAAAACCGCAATCTTAATGGTGCGGTTTGGATTGACCGCATAAGCGATTTGGAGCGGGCGGAGCGGTTTGGACCGCACCAATGCCCACCCCTACTCTCGCCGCATAGATTGAGGAGGCCATCGATCTCTGTATGCTTGGTATTAATAGTGGAAGAGGACTACAAACTCACCGGAGGGTTCCCAATTGGAATCAGAGGAGGTGCTGTGGAGGGTAGATTTCGTTCCGTGGAGATCTGATCGGAACATATGACTGAAAATTAGAAAAGGGGAAGGGGAAATCACATAGAGAATGAGAGAGAGGAGAATGTTTTAAAAGGGAAGGGAAAATAACATGATCAGAGGTGTAATTTTTTTTATTTTTTTAAATCAACATGTCATTAAGTTAACAGTCCAATCAGCAGTTTCGTTTGCCACATCATCAAAAATTTGACGGAGTTAATGGAATCTGACGGACACTAACGGTCGGTGACTAACAGTGAAACGATTCATAAAATTAGTGGCGAATGTGAAAGAAAAGTAATTCGGGTGGCAAACGTAAAAGTTTATTTAATTTGAGTGACCAAACGTGTAATTTAGCCATTCAGTTTAGGATTACTATTCGTCGCCCTAAATATTTGAATTTATCGCCCTAAAAGATATTAAATTACTTAAATGTCCTCCGTTTAATTTATCGCCCTAATCCCAGCCACCTGCTCAGCCGCCGTCCTCCGCTGAGCATCCACCGAATTGGTCAATTCCCCAAACTACCTAATTCCCACAAAGCCGAAAAGGTTTAAAAAAAGATAAAGCTGATAAAATAATTAAGAAGACCATGCGGATATCCTGCTCCCTTGCTTCTTACGGCGACGGCGACAGAGATGGTTGAATACCCGTCGCCGACCCGCCTCTACCCCACCGGCGACGGTTTTCAACCCGCATCGTTGTCGTTAAACAAATATGAAAAGCATAATACCTTCCTCGATGAAGCGGCGACGACGTTGGTTTGTGTGTTGGGGAGAGGGGACGGCAGAAGGAAGAGATGGGGTGTTCGGCTGGTCAGTTAGGCTATTAGGGTTTAGGTTAAGTTGGGGGCAAAATAGTCTGTGTAGGTTAGTTTAGGGAGATAAAATTTGAAATATAGGACGACGAATAGCGATTCAGTTTAGGATTATCGATACTGTACCAATTTCCACTCCTACACAGCAGGTGGGAGGAGGTTATTTGTTTTGGGCGTAGTCCTTTGTGGTGGGGTTTGGTGCGATGCATAGTTGCATGTGGTGATGTGAAATGCAACCAACCAATAGTGAAAGTTTTAGTGAGGTCGGTTCAGCGACTCCAGCTCAAGGAGTAATTGGGCCTTTACAGGGTTTTGGATTCCAGGGCCCAAGATTTAGGCAAGCAAAGAAAATTTCCCGCCTTGCCGCCCATTTCTTTCGCTTTCAATTTTCTCTCCACCAATGTTTGTGTGTTCCTTCCTCAGACAGCGAGAAATCAAAAAGACAAGACGAACAAGAGAGAGAACGAAAGAGAAGGCAAACCGCCAGCCCTTGTCTTCGTGCCTTCGACTTCCGTTAAATTACAGTGCTGCAACTGGGAAAGTTCAAGATTCAGCGAGAGAAAAAAGAGAAACCCGCACATGCTGAATGAGGAAGGGAACAAACCACTATGATGGATGAGCTTAGCACGCCCGACAACAAGCGCCAACCCGACGCCTCTTCTTCCTCTGTTTCCCAACTCGAGGTCCCGTTTTAAGATGCTATTTTCTGCTACTTCCAAGTTCTCTGAGTTCAATTTGTGGTTCTTGCAATGTTTTTCATTATGGGTCTGTACCATACCGTTTCTTTTTTTAGGGGGATTGAGGGTTTTGGGGTTTTCTAGTATTCTTGTCTTCCAACGTTGTTGGTCAGCTAATTTTCTGGTCAATTGAGGCTTGTGTGAATTCGTTGTTGTGTTTGTCCTGTCGTGTTCAAACGTTGTGGCCGTCTCTTTAATTGAAGCGATGAACTTGCTCACAACTTTTTACTAATTTTTGTGACCCCATTTGCCAGACTTCGCCCTTCTTCAATTACATCAACAACTTGTCTCCCTTAGAACTCGTCAAGTTCAGGAACAAGACCGGTGTTGGTCTTCAAGCATTCGATTCGCAGAATTTCAGAACCCCTTCGCCCATTTCCACTTCGGAACAGCTCAAGTTTGTTAACTCTTCAGCCAGGTAAAAAACCCTCTAGTGCTGGTGAATGAAAGGAGGTCAAATTGAAATTTTCTCCTGTTAAGTGAGTAAGTTTCTGTTTGGTTTTTAGGTGTCAAGGCTCCGTAGTAGCACGATCAAGTTCTAAACTTAGAGAATTGCCAGAATTTGATATAACCCCCCAAGAATTAGAATGCTTAGCTTCCAAGAATGAAGTAGTAAAGGCTGATGTGGCAGCTCAGGAACCTCCCGAGGGAAAACTCGAATGCATTTCGGCCGAAAGACTTTCATACGATAGCAAAAGGAATCTAAGAAGAATCACTCGCTCTCGGGGAAATAAAGATGAAATGGAGCATGATTGGGTTTCAGTAATTTCTGAATTGGCTGATGTGTTGACCTTAGATTCGTTGTCCATCCTGGAGAAAGAAGAAGACCCCGAGCTGAAAGAACAGCAGAAGGTGTTGTTGAACCCTATGGAAGAAAGCAATTTTGTATCGGATGTGTTGCAGAGTCCTCAGGAATTTGATCAAATGGGAGAAAACCAGAAAGAAGATAATGTTCATGGAGCTCGGTCTAAAGAGCTGGTTGTATGTGATGCATCTGTAAAGACAGGTCTTCAGCAGAAGCAGCACAAAGCAAGAAGGCGATGCCTGATTTTCGAGATGGCAGGTAGCCAGAAAAGGAAATCTCGAGTCGATGGCACAATGTCTAGCAGTAGTTCATTAGATGAAAAGGAAGAGGATACTTGCTTATCAAGGAAGGGAAATGTGTTGCACTTGCGTTCTCTTGTCACAAGTTCTGGAGTGGTCAAGGCTCAGTGTTTAAGCAACCAAAAGAACACTAGTAAACTCTTTTCACTTCCACACTCCCACTATATAGAGTTCTGGTTATAATCTGATGATTCCCTTCTTATTCCTCTCATTTGTATGCATAACAGATTTGGTCGAGAGTAAGCAAAATGTACCTGAGAGCTCGATAGTGCCTGAATGGGGTGACAGTAGTAGTCCCAAGAGAAAGAGGCATGATATTTTCGCGGCATTTTGAATCTGAATGTTGATATCTTTTTTTTTCGTGTAATGAATCTGAATTTTGGTTGGTGGTTGTCACTAATTCAGGCTCAAAGTGGTACACATCAAGAAATGCAACTGCAAGAGATCAAAATGCTTGAAGCTGTAAGTTCCCTACATTCATTTCATTCTCCCTCTCTTCCGCTATTATGCTGTGGCACGATTTCAAAGGTTATTACTAACTTTGAGATTTGATATACACAACAAGATACTGTGAATGCTTTGCTGCTGGTCTCTACTGCATGGAGTCTTGTTCATGTCAAGGTTGTTCCAACAATCCTGCGAATGAAACCGCTGTCCTCGCTACTCGTCACCTCATCTTTTCCCGAAATCCCCTTGCTTTTGAACCTAAAGTGATGACCAGGCTTGGGGTAAGATTTTGATCCTAGCTAGAAGATTCGATAATTTTGAATACTATCCTGGAGCCTTGCATATTTCTGATCGGTGTCTTGCTCCGTCATTGCAGGGGGAAATGAATGCAGCTACCCCAGCTTCAGCTAGGCATAAGAAAGGATGCAACTGCAGAAAGTCACATTGCTTGAAGAAATACTGTGAATGCTTTGAGGTTATTTAATGTTTGTTCACCTTTCTGTGTATGCGAAGTGTTTTTCTGTGCATCACGTTATGAGATTGATTTGCTGTATATGTTTGTGCTTTTAAAGGGCGGCGTTGGCTGCTCTCCTAGCTGCAGGTGCAGAGAATGCAGGAATTCCTTCGGCAGCAGCAATGGTAATCCTCTACTTCATTGGATTTCCCATGTTCATTGTTTTTCAGCGATGAACATGGGTTGTTTGCCTGCAGTGTTTTGCTTAAGACCGATTGTTTCTGTCATATCGTATCGCAGTTCCTTTTCTGCTCGAGTATGGCAGCTGAAGGGAATGAAGCTGAGGTTGAAGAACATGTAATGTAGCTCTCTGGGAAGGATCAGTTTGCGTGCACTCGTCATGGCACATTGCTGGCGAATCTGAAAGCAATGACTTTGTAAGTTTGTATCGAGTTCTCATGTATCCATCTGTGTTTCTTTCTGTGCTAGTTAAGCGAATCCACCACGTCGATTTGTAAGGCTATGAGCAGCAAAAGAATCAGATTTGAAGAAGAAAAAAACGAACAAACAAACATCTTTCTTTCATGGAACACCCATAAAACCCAATCGCAAAACCGATTCCCCCAAATAGAGAAAAATTGTCAAACAAAATCAAAAACACAAACCCAATCTCGAAAAGAATTCATTCTTTCGCCAAGAAATTCTGGCCTGGCCATGGCGTCAAAAATCAAGCCGTGAGATTCCCATACTTGGCCTTGTAATCCTTCCAAACATCAGCCACATCTTTCCCAAGCAGCTCTACGAAGAAGCCGCTGCTGTAAGTATCCTTCATCATGGAATTAATCTCCGCCACAAAGCTGCCATTCCTCAAACCATCGCAGTACTCCAAGAACCTGGCCGTGACGTCGTCCCCTTGGTCCCACTTCTCCCCTTCCCCTGCCTCCGCCCACTCATAATAACTAGTAGTAGTATGGTTATTCTTGGGCTCGTACCCTGCCTTGCCTCTCACGTAATCGCCGATCCCGGACAGCAGCCCCGCCGGCGCCGTGCCGTTCCCGTTCCAACCCCACACGGACGCCATCTGGCCGTACACCAGCCCGGCGAACTCCCTGCGCAGCTCATCGGCCGACGACGACGAGCCGTTGGAGGTGAAGTTGGCGAGGTAGTCTGCGTCGATGTAGATTTGGGCGGCCTGGTAGTCGTGGTAGGCGATCCCTTGGATGTCGGAGTCTATGAACAGGCTGATCTGCGGCAGCGATCGCCGGTCGGCCGACGTGTTCTGCTGGAAGGTCTGCCAGGAGAAGTCGGAGGCGGCGGACATGGTGTTGGTGGTGAAGTTGAGGCCGATTTGGGTGTCGAAGACGATCCCGCCTTTGGTCCCCGGGGCCATGTTGATGACTGGGTATGTCACTGCTTCCACATTGGACACTCCTGCTGCTGCTGCTGCGGCTAGTAATGCTATGGTCGGGACCAGGAAGAACAGAGCAGCGGAAGCGGCCATGGTGGATATCAGTCTTGAGTTTCTGGTTTTCCGCCTTCTCTTCCTCTGTTAGTGAGTTGCTTGTGTTTGTGGGCGATGGGATGCAGGGACATTTATATGTGCTTTGTGTTTTTGGGTGGAGCCAAAACAGAGCATTAATTTGTTATTTGTTGGCTGGACATTGTGGTTCTTACCTGTGTCTCTGTGATCCAGAAGGGACAAAACAGTGAGAGAAGTTAAATTTCTGGATATGGCAGTTAGTTTGGGTTTGGGAACTTATAATCTACCATTTGGCAAGCCTGTATCTGGTATCTAGAAGTTAGCCATGCATCTACGTACATATATGGGTAGGCATTGCAGAGGACAGAGATGACACTTACGTGGAAATTGGCATCATCGTTCACCATGGACACTGCTTCGAAATTGCAGATGAACGTACAGCACATGGAACGTCATGTCCATTGCTTCACAACCGGTGAAAAACCGGCCAATTCAGACGAAGAACTGAGCACAGGTTGAACTAGGAGCTCAACAACGCTTCCCGCTTGATTGCAACGGTATCATTGCCAGCTTATGTGCTTCTTCTTGCACTAAGAATGAAGTGGGAGAAGAAGACGACCAGGAGCTGCTGTGTCATTGTCCACATCTTTCAGTGATAAAATGCAACTGATTCTGACAGAATCTACGACAGTTAAACTTCCAACGAAATATATGGGAGACTATCGCAAGGTTTTATCACTAATAATAAGATAAGATTTGACCATCACTTAAAACCAAGTGGCTATGTTTAATGTAAAACTTGAGAAAAGCGCAAGTCGCTGATGGATCTCACATACTATCCCGATAGATAATAAACCTCTACAGTTCAGCACACGTTGCCACAATAACTAAATCCCATCAAAACTTGGATCCAATACTCTACTGTAAAGACAGCTCAAACGATTTGTCACAATCTGGACTACAGATAGCTAGTCTTCTGAGTTGTGATCAAGCTCCAACAACTTCGGTCTCAGCTGCTGCTTCCGCCATCGGCTCATCAGCAGGCCTCTCCACCTTCACACCAACATCCTCGGTCGAGTAATCACCATGGACCTTCAACCAATCAAAATCAAATACACGGGTAGAGCTTTCAGTAGAGTAATCACCATTAACCTAACAAAAGAGCAAAATACAGATGGATTGAATAACAAGGTAGGCCCTGATGCATTTACCTCCATCAGCTTTCCAATGTCAAATTTGGGAGCCTTGAGGATCTTGACCTTTCGGATGAAAACATTCTGGAGAGGATAGATTCCAACGGTGGCCTTCTCAATTTCTTTCCCAATGCTTTCGGGGATGAACTTCTTCACTAGATCCTTCAAATCACAGGACTGTGCTTGGTTGATCATGATCTCCCTCATCTTCCTGCGAATCTGTGAAAGTACAAAGAGAATGTTATATATGAGCCCATCGGATTGATGAGAAGCAAGAGAACTTATAAATCATCATTGTAAAAGTATGTGTACCTGGCGGATCTGACTCGATTGGGCATAGCAAGTCCTCTTCACCTGATTGGGACGCCTCTTTGTGAAGGCAATGCAGAACATCCTCAAGGTGTAGTTATCAGTTGTCTTGACATCGACATGGGCTTCGATCAATGTCTGCCACTTGCGGACAAGGGAGCGGAGCTTGTCTGTTGTGAAGTCCATTCCCTAGAGAGTAGACAATCAGGTTTTTTAGCTTCAGTTTTGGTACGGCTTCATATTTGGAGGAGATATACAAATAAATAGCACTACATACCCAGAAATTGGTGAGGACATTCTTTCCTTGCACGTCCTCTGCCCTAAGGCGGATCTTTCGGTAGGCATTATCCTCATCTTTCTGAAGGTCAGCAAGAGAGACTTCGAAAACTCTATGCTTCAGGCCTTCGGAGGCAATCTGTCAACCATTCAAAGACTCATCGATCAAGCATCATATGAGAATAGATAACAATGGTGATTTAACTAAGATACTAATTCAACATAGTCCAACCATGCGTTAATAACCCAAAGTTCACAACTTTCCCGCAAAGAGATTGGCATAAAGATATAGAGCATGAATAAAGACCAGTTCAAACTTCCACATTGATCTATACAGACAAATTATCAGAAACCCAATATCAGTTTAAATGAACTTGCACCGCTGCATTTGACCACAATGATCTATAGAGACAAATTATCAGAAAACCGATATCAGTTTAACTAAACTTGCACCAATGCATTTGAACAAAGTCCTAGAAGCAGAAAGATCAATCCCGAACTAAAGAAACTTTCCCTCCATTTATTTCACTATCTGCCCCATAATCAAACAGATTCCCTAACCTAAGAGTCATCATCACAATCAATTGGAAATCATACCTTAGTTCCCTGGGTTCTGCTGACGAGGGTCTTGCCTATGTTCCTGACCTCGAAAATGGATGGTGACTTGATATCGTACCAATCCTTCTTGGCGAAGGGATCGGTTCTGTTCCAACAGCGAATTGAAATTAAGTAAACAAACCAATTACATTCAGAGATCGAAGGACAAGTGAGCCACTTAAATGACGGAAAATTGAGAAGAATGTTCAATGGAGATTCCAACTTACGCCTTCTTCTTGCCTCCCTTCTTTCCCTTGGAGATCCGCTTGTTCTTCCTGAGGGGGAACACAAAAGGAGAAAGGAGATAAAATATGAGTGAACAAAGAGCGCTATGGGATTTCAGAAAACTTGCTATGGAAAATACAGGGAAGAAGAAGAGAGAGGTAATCACCCGACGGCCATGGCGTAAGATCGGCGGCGATTAGGGTTCTTCGGCGGCTGCTGCGCTGTTGTCGAGGGAAGAAGTGAGCGCAGTGAACAGCTGAAAGAGAAGAACCTGCTAGCTAGGGTTCACCATTTTATATACCTCCGAAGCGTGCAACGACACCGTTCTAGTTTGTACCCATTAGGGATGGCAATGGGTTGGGTTTGGTCGGGTTTTGCCAAACCCAAACCCAAACCTATGGGTTTATCCGTGAAAAAAACTCGGGGTAAAATTCACAGGGTTTGAAAAACTCAAACTCAACCCAACCCGTTGGGTATCCGTGGGTTCATGAGTACCCACGGGTTTTTATCGTAAAAAATTTACAATAACAAGTTCCTATCAAAATTAAAGTTAAATATCAATCTCTCAATATAAATTATCCATATATAAAACACCATTCTAGAAAATTCAAGCAAATCACAAATTAACTATACAAATTGTTCAACACCAATCTAGAAAACTCAAGAAAATTGAAGCAAATCACAAATTATCCATAAATAACATGATTAATTGAAAACTTCTTCCTTTCAATTAAGTTCTTCACTCTCCACTCGATAACATCAACTTCATTCTACACAATTTGAAAGAAAAAATTAGACATGTCTCCACAAACATAAATAAGATTAGTTGTTTAGAATATTAAATATACCGAGAAAATTAACTATATGGGTGCGGGCGGGTACCCATGAGTCGGGTTTACCTAAACCCAAATCCAACCCAACCTGGTGAATAGTGAACGGGTTTAAACCCAAACCCAACCCAAAACCCGTTAACACGTATTTTACCAGGGTTGACCGGGTTGGGTCGTGTGAATACTCGTGGGTTCGGGTTTTGTTGCCATCCCTAGTACCCATGTCAAGTTGAACTAAATACCGACTTTTTTGCAAGGTTTTTTTTTCAAAAGGCAAAATACACTTGTATATCCACAACTATCAAGTTTGTGACAAATATATCCACAACTATCGAAATACACGAAATATCCAAAAATCAGAAGGTTGTGTGACAAATCTATCCACTTCCGTCTGAAACTATAACGGTGTGTCAGACGGCGTTAAATTGACTAACGGAATGCTGAATCAATGCCATCTCACCTTCCGTCAGAAGGTTGTTGCTTTTTGGCTTATGTGGCAGGTGAGATGGCATCGATTCAGCATTTCGTTAGTCAATTTACCGTCGTCTGACACTCCGTTATAGTTTCAGACGAAAGTTGATAGATTTTTCACACAACCTTCCGATTTTTGGATATTTCGTGTATTTCGATAGTTGTGGATATATTTGTTACAAACCTGATAGTTGTGGATATACACCTGTATTTTGCCTAATTTTTCCCCCTCTTTTAATCCACGTCATTTAGTGGGGTCAGAAGCACGCCAACTAAGCATCCACCGTCTGTCCAGTCATCAAGTTAACTGACGGAGTGGACGAAAATGGATATTTCGTGTATTCCGATAGTTGTGGATATATTTGTCACAAACCTGATAGTTGTGGATATATAGCTGTATTTTGCCTTTTCAAAATACAAGTTTGAACTTTGTGATAATAGCCTTCTGAAAAAAACATTTAAATAATGGGTAAATTACAAGTTTGTTTACTAGAATTACTAAACAGTTTTACGTTTGTCACTAAAATTAGTTTATTCTATTCATGATCACTAAAATTAGTTCAGAAATTCAAGTTTGATCACTCTCTGTGAACCTCCGTTAACTTTTATTAATATGACAGTCAACTCTGACAGTTGACAGTTAAATATGTGACGTGTCAAGTAAAAAATTATAAAAAATAAAATTTAATCTTCTTATAATGGTGGTGATGATGTTGTCGGAAAATCCATCTCAAGCTCTTGAAGCTGTTCCGGCTCCTTTTAATCCCACTGTCATTTATTGTCATCCGAAATGACTCGCCATTTCCATCTCCTCCCGCCATCCCATACTCTGTTTTGAAATCGGCGGAGATGGAGCTACTGGCTCCCCAAACAGAGCTTCTCACCCCTGAATAGATACCGTCCTCCGACCCTGCAAAAAAACCCTCCTCTGTCGATGCGCCACTTGAAGCTGTATAGCGACATGGACCTCGAAACCATCTCGTCGCACCCACCGCCAGCAACGTAATCGTCATCGGGAACCCACAGGTCGTCGTTCCACTCTTCAATCCCGGCGATGCTGTATGGAATTCCGTTACCGCTAGAGGCCGCTAAGGTGGCAGAGGTGACTACGACAGCGAGGCGGCTCCCAAGGCGGAGGGAGAAGGAAGGCCATGGTCTTGGGCGAGGGAGATAACACAGGACCGAAGTCGTACGAACAGAGTCCGGAGAAGAAATTGAAACCTGACTCACCGGTCGTCATCCGACGCTCTCTCAAAAGCCAAGGGTTGCCGCTGGAAGGCGTAAACGGCGTCTCCGACGATCATCCTTGTGAAACCCTTCAAATTTCCAGTCAGGAGAAGATCTCGCCTCGTGTGTTAGATCCTTTGAGCATGACCGACGCCCACGACGACGCTGGATCTAACCGGAACCTGCCTCGACCGCCTGAATCCGTAGCCGTTTTCCCCAGAATCGACAACAGTAACTCTCTTTCCTTGAATTATAACTTTTATGTTTTATTTTTTTTTTAATTTATTATGATAATGAGGTGGAAATTATAAAAAGATTAAATTTAAATTTTTTTTTATAATTTTTAGATTGACACATCATTCATTTAACGGTCAACCATTAGAGTTGACTGTCACATCAAAGAAAGTTAATGGAGGTTAACGGAGAGTGACCAAACTTGAACTGTTGAACTAATTTTAGTGACCATGATTAGAATAAACTAATTTTATTGACAAACGTGAAACTTTTTAGTCATTTCAGTGACCAATCTTGCAATTTACCCTTTAAATAGTCATTTCGTTCATAACTTTAATGGAAATACTAAGGATGCTGACTAAACTAGCATTTTTTGTGACCTGACATTTTTTGACAAAAATAATACCAGGTGAAAATGGAGAAAGTTAATCTGCTAACTTGAAAATTCGTTAGCAGATACTAACTGATATCCAAAATACATGAACTAGTATCCAAGTACTAACGTATCTAGAGAGCACAGACTAGTATTCAAAGTTTGTTAACTGATATTCACCATGAATCAACTATTATCCCAAATTCACAAACTAATATCTAGACAACACATAATAGTATCCATATAACACATAATTAGTATCCCGATAACACTTAAGAGTATCCAGATAACACATAAGAGTATCCATATTGAATACTAGTTGGTTGATTGTGGATATTAGTTGGTATATGCTATCTGGATACTAGTTTGTGATGTTTTGAATACTAGTATGTGTTATCTAGATACTCAGCAGATTTGGATATTAGTTTATATATTTTGAATATTAGTTAGTATATACTAACGAATTTTCAAGTTAGCAGAATAACTAGGCTCGGTGAAAATGGTTATTTTCTTATTATAATAGAATAGAAAACAAACAAACAAATAAATAAATATCTCTGTCTTCCCCGAAACCCTTACCTCCCCCTGTATTTTGCTTTCTCGTTTCATCCTTTTCACCGTCGTCGGCGGAGCTCGAGTTCTACCCCGGCACAATTCCAAAACCCGATCATTTACACTCCTCGCCTCGTAATTCTAATGACTTCTATAGTATGATTTGTGCAATTGAAGTTGTACAAATAGAGCCATGAGCAAGAACCAGATCTGCCCATGACGGAACCAGCTCTGAAGAACCCTAATTGTTGCGCTGACCATTTTCACCATCAAAAGCTTCATTGAAACTCTCCTACTTCTTAAGTCTACTGGGCGAGAACTCAACTGAAAAATGTCTTTTGCTAAGCTTTGTTTTTTCTGCCGATGTCATTGGGTTCGAGTCTCTGTTTCGGGAAGCACAAGTAGCGGCGTCGTCGAAGCACAAACACCAGCGGCAAACAACTAGATCAGCTCTAGAAAATACTCCGGCTTCTTCTCTAAATGAACTCCTGCGTAGGATGAGGGCAAGAGGTTTGGCGACGGATCTCTCTATCCTCTTTTTCTTGTCCGATCATCGTCTTCTTCTAGAAATTCTTACCGACCATATGAAAGAATTTGTTGTCGCGACAATAGTTGAAGATAAAAAGAATGATGAGATTGGGAGAAATGAAAAATTAGGGTTTATTTGGCAAAGGGGGTTTTTTCCGGCAGCAGTAGGTAGGGATGGCAAAAATATCTGTAACCGTGGATATCCGCCCGAATCCGGCCTAATCGGGTAGGGTAAAACCCGAACCCGAAGGACATTTAGTGGGTACGGGTAAAACCCGAACCCGAATATTGTGGGTAATGGATGGGCATGGGTTTCTAACTATCCAACCCGAACCCGCCCGACTATATGCATGCATATGTATTTTGTCTAGAAATAATTATTATTTTTCTCTAACATATTTTATATTTAGCATATAAATATAATATTTTCATGAAATTGTGTTGTTTTAGTTAATTTTCTTCATTCTAGTGAACTATTGTCGTACTTTTTTTTTTACGTAATGTGAGAACACGTGTGAATGTTAACATATTGGTTGGAGTTATGAAGAGAAATTATTATCCATGGATAACCGTGGATACCCGAAACCCGAACGGGTATGGGCATGGTTTTAATTTTCTACCCGTTTCACATGTGGGTATGGGTATGGGTAAAACCCGAACTACTTTGGGTAGGGTAACGGATATACACTATCCGTCCCCGACCCGACCCATTGCCATCCCTAGCAGTAGGGGTGAGTTATTTATGAACTTCTTTTATTAAAATAAGTTAATGAATTTTTCAATTAAAATCTGACGTGGCATCCATGTGGCATAATGTATCTTGTTGGAGCTGACGTGTGAGCTGAGTTGGCATCCATCTAAGGGTAACGTTGACGTTATTAACATAGTCACTAACGAAGTTAAAGTTTATAACGAAAATGGCTAAATTTATCAAATTAGTTTTCAAAATGTGGCTATATCTGTATACTTTTCAAAAATTGCTATATTTGTCAAAAACGTTAAAATTATGGCGACACAAGTGTATTTTTCCTTTTTATTTTATAAAACAGAAAAAAGAACAAATTTTTTTTATGTGGAGAACCTTTACCCACAGTCGCCACTTGATTGTGGCCGCAAGCATG